CTATTATTAATGTAATATCTGTGCCTTCTGGGTATGACAATAAAGTACATCTGACAGAAAGGCCTCTGATCGGGAGGTTTCGAGGAACGGAGAACCACCGCTTAATTGCTGTTCCTAGGTAAACCCTGACCTGGAGTGGTAGCACTTGATAGGGTCCCAGCTAAAGGAAAATAGTGCACTCTAAAACTGATGGCAAAACACTATAAAAGTATAAAAAATGTATTTTTCTAGTAAAAATTTTCAGAAATAAATTTTATCTGTCTATATTTCTGAGATGAGATATTATGTACATTATTTATATTATTCGGACTATTGTCCTCATCTTTGTTGCCAAGGACACGTGGCACAGTGGATAAAGGCGTTGGTTAAATCCCGTGACAGGACCCAAAGAGTGTGAGTCCAATACCCGGCTAAAGCAGTGGATAACTTTCAGAGCGAGATAACTGATAACTGACATCCATTAAACATGGCACGTGGAACTAGAACAGTCTACCCCAGTGAGCGAAATAGAGGGTTATGTTCAACATTCCAACCACCTGAAGAAGGCCGGAGCGTACAACGGCCGAAATGTTGTAATAAATATGGCGACAAAGATGAGGACAATAGTCCGAATAGTGTAAATAAAGTAAATAAATTTTAATAGTAAAAAAATTGCAACAATAGATGTTAAAAGAAAAAAAATTCCAGCAATAAATTTTAATAGTAAAAAAAAAATTACCAAAGCTCAAAAAAATTAAATTTCGATATTAAGTGACCCATAAGGAGTTGATATGCAGTAACAAACCAAACTAATGTGTCATTACCCTACCATCTGCCTAAGATTAGTGTAGTATCCTTGCTCTTTTTGAAAAGTGTTACATAAAATCTATACTTCTAGATGTTTTGATATTTGTTTTTTAACATTGACATTTTTATCACATTTTTTCTTCTGATATATCTTTGTGTAAATTTTATTTTATACACTTTGCAACAGATTCTGTAGCTTTCCTCAAATCTTTCATTCAAAAAACAAAGAGAATGACAGCAAAGAAAAGAATAAAAAATGCGTTTGGATATATAAATGCCACATTTGATCTTATAAATTACCAATACAAGTGAACTAACATTCGAAATATAAAGGCTTAAGAGAATATTCTAAGAGCGTTTTGAAAATAACAAATTTGATACGAAAAGAAATAGGACAAACCATTGTGTTACTCTGATATTTTGACACTGTTTTGAAAATGTCATAATATAATTTTCACTTTTCGAAATGTCTTGGCGAAATTCAAAACCTTAGAGACTAGTTGGATGGAATGAACGATCTTTTAAATTGTAGTCATGTGACTTTATAAGCCATGAAATATTTCACGATTCAAGCCGTGTTAAAAATAATACTTTACACTTTAGAAATCCTTGACAGGATTTATTTCAAGTTGTCAGTGCATAAAAAAGAGCATAAAAAGTTAATATGTTCAAATTCTGAGTTATTTAACTTTAAGCTGTTCTTTCTTCTTTTTTTTTCACCCAATAGAAAACTCAAGAGTCTCTCAAGGTAGAAGCTTACTGAATGAGGTTGTGTGAGGGCATAAGATGAAAATATAAGTGCTGATTATGAGGATATGTAGACTAGATAATGTCTGACCTTAGATTTGAAGAGCTGAAGGTTGTAGCATCCTCTTGTGGGCCTCTTTCATTAAATAGAGTCAATTGGTTGGAAGGGGGGATTTTTTTAAAGCAAAAATATGAATATCTTGATTAAGAACATTTTTACGAATTTAAGAAACTTGTAAAACAATTTTTCGACTTCTTCATCTCGCAAGATTGACTTTCAACAAACAGTCATTGTGAACTTCTTATACAGTTTAAAATGTTTATAACTTCGATTTGATAAAAGATAAAATCAATCAGAAAAAGCAAAAAGAAAAAGTTATTATATTTTTAAATAACTTTTTTCTTGAGATTAATAATCTTCATCAAGCCCTCGCTTTCCAGCCTTGACAGAGTTCAACATCGTTTATGCGCCCTTGTGGGTGATGAATTACTTTCCATTCTACAGCATCTTTCATACAAGAGCTACATCCCTAGCCTGTCGCTATTTCCGTTACAAATGGCCTTTACTTTTACCGGTTCAAACCTTTACAGCTAAGACCCGCCATGCTCTGGATACTTTGAACAACAGCGACAACTGAGATGGATATCACATTAAGTCAAAGAGAAAATAATAGCATAATCTAGATGTTGACATTACACACCGATTCAAATAAAAGGTTCGAAATAATGTGTTCATCAATATTAGAAAGAGCGATAACAGTTACTGGATATGAGAATCCTATTCTCCTGAAGAATTGTTTTAAAGAAATAGATTGCATATATTTCAACACGTAGAAACACATTTTAACTGAATGTACTAGCATCTGTAAAAAAAATAAATACTAGAAGGAAAGTAAAACGAGAAAAGTAGTTGAAAATACTGAAACAGTCAACATAATATACTGTAAAGAAATAAGTTTATATCATAACATATACCACCTACAACAGATCATGTACAAAGCATATAACAATGTTTACCTTGAAAGCATAAAATGAAATACAAAAAATATCTGTAGCTGAGGACATAAAATTGCGTTGAAAATATATTTAGTTGTAGTCATAAAATTGTGTTCAAAATATTTAGATTTCGTCATTAAATAACCCATAAAGATGTTGATATGCCGCTAAACAAAATCAAACAAACAATTCCCTCACATTTACGCCCATAAGTGCATGGGGAGGAGGTCAAGATAAATTTCTAAGTTACACAAAAATAAATATACGGGGAAAGCTTTTGGTGGTTCACGGTTTTAATGAAAAGTGATTACAGAAGTATAAATTGATTACAATCAAATTATTAAAAGAAATCGGAAAGATTATTTTAAGAAGTACAGCTAATTCCGATGTAATTCAAACTTCGTTATCATGACAACTCTTTGACATACATCGGAATTCGTCGTTTGCTCTAAAAAAATAATCTTACCGATTTCCTTTGATGGATAATTTATCTTCTGTAATCGCTTTAAAATATCGCCTGTTACTAAACCGTGAACCGCCAAAAGATTTCCCCCTATATTTGTTTTTGTGTAGGGAATTGTTTTTTTAACGGCATATCAACATCTTTATGGGTTATTTAATGACGAAATCTAAATATTTTGAACACAATTTTATGGCTTCAACTAAATATATTTTAAACGCAATTTTATGCCCTCAGCTACAGATATTTTTTGTATTTCATTTTATGCTTTCAAGGTAAACGTTTGTTTTATAGATATATGCTTTGTACATGATCTGTTGTAGGTGGTATATGTTATGGTATAAACTTATTTCTTTACGGTAGAATATTATGTTGACGGTTTCAGTATTTTCAACTACTTTTCTCGTTTTGCTTTCCTTATAGTATTAATTTTCTACAGGTGCTAAGTATATTCAGTTAAAATGTGTTTTACCGTGAGTGGGGCTTGGCATGTTGTACAATTTGGTTGATCTTTCTTCTTCAGCAAATATGAATGGGTGAGTGATGTGTGGTCTATGTGATGCCGAACAAACATTATTTCAGTCTTTCATCCTTTTTTAAATATTGGACTTCATTGTCCCAGCACCGGTTTAATTGTACGAAGTTTGTTATTTTTCTTTTCGGTTCAACTCTTCTGCCAATTATACTTAATGAAACTGTCTATATCTCTTTTCAGGTTTGGTATAAGGGATCCCAGAACTATTATCATTGCTGCCAAAATTCAAGGAGAATTTGAAAGTATTTTTAAGTGCTTCATTACACCGTCAGCAAATGGGTGGCTCTGTGTCTATTTCTCCGTCGGCTAATAAATTGGCCGCTTGTGTAATAAGCATTTATGACTTTTTCTCAATGGTTGGAATGCAGAACCGCAGAGATGAGTCAGTTTTAATTGCGAAGGAGATAAATTACAATCAGGCAGGGGCACTGACCCTCTGTTCAAACGTATAATTGCACGATATCGCCGGATGGTGGTGATCTGGCGGGATTACTAATTGGATAATAATTATTAAAATTCTCAGAAGAGTAAATAGAATGATTGAGTGAAATGTGGAAAAAGAAATAAGTTGATGATTATGTTTTAAACAATAAATTGAATTTAAGAACGGCTTCAAAGAGAACCAAACCCAGAAATAACTAGCCAAAATTCAGTAAAATTATGCCAAACCAAATTTACCCCAACCTATCCAGTCCCCTCCGATAAAAAGAAGACAGGATTAATGTGTTACCCGAATTTTTTTCCTGAGAAATTGAATTCGGGGTTTGTTTACATTAATACTATCCGTCCAAAACGGTTATATCCTTACAGAAAACAATGACCCTAATTCTCTTAAACAAAGAGGGCCATGTGGTTTATGTTTGATTCTCTAAGATTTGGGCGCTCGGGGTTGGAGAAATAAGATATGTCAATATCAAATTTTAGGTGGGGGGTCTACATAAACGAATGCCTACAATTCCAGATAACAAAAGAGAGCCTGGCCCAAGGAGAGTCATCAGAAATTCACTCCGGGTTGCATGGACAGCCTTAACTTCACAAGAACACACGCATTTTCGTGGCCGGAGTGAACACACAGACACATGCAGAATAGAAGTAAACGAGGAGCGGCAAGCAGTCTTGTTTCCACCAATTCAGAGTAGTTACTGCTATATTTGTCTGGCACCATTCAGCGAGGTAGACTTAGTTCTACTGTAAATAAAAGAGAGATTTTATTCACCAGTTTTAATATTCTATAAACCTGTTTTTGGAGTTATCAACAGTGTTGTTTCTTTTATTGAATGAATTCATATTCTATTCTTTATTCTCGACGTTGTCCCGGAAGCAAGACGAAGATTACCACGAAAATTACATAATCTTGTTTGTGATACACAACGTACATATTTGTCCACCACTAGATTTCGACATCAATCCCAGTATAAAATGATTTTGGGAAACCCAAATCAACCCTATCGAGGAGGAAAAAGAAGGCCAGATGAC